TATATTTTGGTAGCAGTCTTTCCTGTAGACATATATTATTAAATATGACCGAAAAAGTAAGATTAATAATTCTAACACGAATTTTCTCAATCTTTCGTACATTACGCTTCACTGTTGGAGGTAAATCAAAAATTAATTCTCCAAAATTCATTTTTATTTCTAGTCTGACGCGACACGGGCGCGTTTCGTAAAACTTATTACATTTTCAAAGACTTTAGTTCACAAATACACAACTGAATAGAACTTACGTATCTCAGATTTTATATCTACATTTGAGTGAGGTGGGAGGGGTGATGTGGCATTAACACAAGACAGAACAAGAGGGGATATTAATAGGGTATTAAAAGTATCAACACAAGACAGAACACAAACAATGGGTATTGAATAGAAGTGTTTGTAGAAAGCCTATTGGTCCATATTTCTTGATGCTTCTATATTGGAGCGGAGTCTTGAGGTGGGTAGAATATAGTTGTGCAATAATTGGCTGTTGATTGCTGGTGTTGACTTCTTGATGTGTAGTGCCTCGCAAACGTCAAGCCGCCTGCTATCGCTGTATCTATCGATGATTTCTGTGTTGTTTACTAGGATTTCTCTGGCGATGGTTTGGTTGTGGGAAGAGATTATATGTTCCTTAATGGAGCCCTGTTGCTTATGCATCGTTAACGCCTAGAAAGAGATGTTGTTGTCTTGCCTATATACTGGGTTTTTTGGAGCTTACAGTCCCCAAGTGGGCATTTGAAGGCATAGACGACGTTAGTCTCTTTTAAAGCGTTCTGTTTTGTGTCTGGAGAGTTTCTCATGAGTAGGCTGGCCGTTTTTCTGGTTTTATAGTAAATCGTCAGTTGTATCCTCTGATTTTTGTCTGTAGGGATAACGTTTCTATTAACAATATCTTTCAGGACCCTTTCCTCCGTTTTATGAGCTGTGGAAAAGAAGTTCCTGTAAAATAGTCTAATAGGGGGTATAGGTGTTGTGTTAGTTGTCTCTTCAGAGGTTGCATGGCTTTTCACTTTCCTTCTTATGATGTCTTCGACGAAACCATTGGAGAAGCCGTTATTGACTAGGACCCTCTGTAGGGTAAGGCAGGTCCTAGTCAATAACAGCTTCTCCAATGGTTTCGTCGAAGACATCATAAGAAGGAAAGTGAAAAGCCATGCAACCTCTGAAGAGACAACTAACACAACACCTATACCCCTATTAGACTATTTTACAGGAACTTCTTTTCCACAGCTCATAAAACGGAGGAAAGGGTCCTGAAAGATATTGTTAATAGAAACGTTATCCCTACAGACAAAATCAGAGGATACAACTGACGATTTACTATAAAACCAGAAAAACGGCCAGCCTACTCATGAGAAACTCTCCAGACACAAAACAGAACGCTTTAAAAGAGACTAACGTCGTCTATGCCTTCAAATGCCCACTTGGGGACTGTAAGCTCCAAAAAACCCAGTATATAGGCAAGACAACAACATCTCTTTCTAGGCGTTTAACGATGCATAAGCAACAGGGCTCCATTAAGGAACATATAATCTCTTCCCACAACCAAACCATCGCCAGAGAAATCCTAGTAAACAACACAGAAATCATCGATAGATACAGCGATAGCAGGCGGCTTGACGTTTGCGAGGCACTACACATCAAGAAGTCAACACTTTTTTTCCTCCATTTCTCGTATACAAACTTACATGTTAATCGACGGGTCTCGTCCCCAAGGGGTTCAGAAACCAAGTGGTGCTCTTTTATATATATATATACTATATATATATATATATATATATATATATATATATATATATATATATATATATATATATATATATATATATATATATATATAAATAAAATCTTTCTAATTATTTCCAATGTTATGATTATATCCTTAAATTTATTCTCCTCCCCCTCCTTTAAACAATTGTGTGGGTGATGGGATGTCATCCAATCTTTCGAGTGTGAACATTGATGTAAAATAATCATTTAGAGTGCTGCCCTTTTATAATCCATAATAGCTTGGTTAGTCTCCTCTGTTAAGGGTCCAACTGAGTCCTCTGTTTTGGTTTTACCTCTTATATAGGCAATGAATAATTTTGGATCTTTCTTTATGTTTTGGGCAAGTTTTCTTTCATACAGTGGAACCTCGATTTACGAATGCCCCAACTTACGAATTTTTTGAGTAATGACCCCAATTTCGTCGGAAAATTTGTTTTGACTTGTGACTTTGTCGATACAAGTATGGGTCGACCAAGCACGTGGTTCTTGGTGGCACGGATGGGTGGCACAGATGGATGGTATGAATGGATGGTAGGTGGGTGGGACAGGGAGGCTGGTGGGGGAAGGGGGGAGACAGGAAAGAAAATCTGTTAGATATACCAGCCCTAGAATCATGTAAGGGAAGAACACATGGAGGATGAGTGGGTGGGCAGGTGATAGAGTGGATGGATGAGTAGCAGGGCAAGCAGAACAGAACAAGTGGGTGGCAGATGGTAGACTAAGGAGGTGGATGGCTGCTGGTAGACTAAGGTGGGTGGCAGGGCGGGTACAGAGTGGGTGGGTAGCAGGGTGGTCAGGAGACAGTGGGTGGGTGGACGGGTGGTCAGAGTGGGTGGGTGGGTAGCAAGACGACTGGTTATAGTGGGTGGATGGATAGCAGTGGGTGGTGGCGTGAGTGGACCAGCTTCCAGCTAGGACAATGCAGGAGCTGGTCACTCCCGGACTCTCCCCAAGACACCCCATCCCACACACCAGTCCCTCTCAGCTACCTCCATTCCCCCCATCCCGCACCCTCCCTGCTACCTTCATCTGCTTGTGAATGCTTATTATATTATTATATATTATATTATCTCCTAATCCTCCACACTGGCCCTCCCTAGCTGTACCTCTACCAGCCATATGGACTGTATTATTATGATGGGCTTCCTTGCTACCAGCTGATGGATTGGGATTCAGAATACCTGAACGCCTGACATTAAGCTTATTGTTTGCCAACTGACTGGTTGCGACTGTGATAGCCTGATTGACTGTGAACAGCTGATTGACTGTGAATGCCTGATTGACTGTGAATGGCTGAATGACTGTGAATGCCTGATTGACTGTGAATGGCTGATTGACTGTGAATGCCTGATTGACTGTGAATGGCTGATTGACTGTGAATGCCTGATTGACTGTGAATGGCTGATTGACTGTGAATGCCTGATTGACTGTGAATGCCTGATTGACTGTGAATGCATGACTGACTGTAAATGCTTAACCTTGTTGCTACCACAACAGTGACTGCTTAACCTTGTTGCTACCACGACAGTGAACGCTTAACGTTGTTGCTACCACAACAGTGAATGCTTAACCTTGTTGCTACCACAACAGTGAATGCTTAACCTTGTTGCTACCACAACAGTGAATGCTTAACGTTGTTGCTACCACAACAGTGAATGCTTAACCTTGTTGCTACCACAACAGTGAATGCTTAACCTTGTTGCTACCACAACAGTGAATGCTTGACTACCTTTGGTTATGACTGCCTGTGACTGGTCTTGACTGACCATGTTGTGACTGACTGGTTCTGACTGGCTGCCACATAACAGAGGCAGTGAAATGTGTGAATGGAAAATCTGGGAACCAGTGATGTATATATGAAAGCGTTTAAGGCAAGCAGAGGGATGGTCTAGCCCCTCCCTCCCTCCTCCTCACCCTTCCCATACACCAACACCACTCCTCTCTCCCTCCTCACCAGCTCCCGTCGCCAACAAGAGTCCTCAGTAAAGATAAAGCAGTTAAATGTTCACTTGTTATATTTATGATTTATATTTATACCTGATTGTTTTGTGTATAAAAATTATTAGTATTCTGTATAATATGTATTTTTAAGTTAATATTTTTGGGTGTGTGGAATGGTTTAATTCAGTTTACACTATTTCTTATAGGAAAATTTATTTTGAATCACGAATTTTCGAGCTACGACCCGTCTCTGGGAATGGATTAAATTCGTAAATGAAGGTACCACTGTAGTTTCTTTTGGCTGATCTGATTTTCTGAGTGGCCGACTTTAGTGCTCTTTAGTAAAACTCATAATTAATGATTTCAATTGTGGATTTATATGATCTGAAGAGGCTCTTCTTGGTTACCAATGCTCATTTTACGACCTGTGTCATCCACCTAATTCTTTCTTTCTCTTTCTCTTTTCGGCACATATTATTGAACAAGTTCTGTGATGACCCTCTTTGAAATTTTGCCATGATGCTTCTGTGCCATGTTTGCCCATCAGCTCCCTCCAGGAGATGCTTTGCAATTCCTCTCTGATTCTTTGATAGTCACCTCGCTAGTAATCTTGAAATTCATCATCTTTGACCTTTTTTGACCTTTAGATTGTTAATTAAATCGAGTGGATACTGAATAAGCACTTCGTGCTCTGGAGCGAATGTCATACACCAGGGCAGATTTTACGACGAAATTGACATCGTACACCGAAAAATTTATACTCGGGCAATCATACACAGAGGTTCCACTGTATTTAACTATATAAATTCCTCAAATTGCACACTACTGAACAATATTACTGCATGAAACAAGATATAAAACCATTCAGAGACATTTAAATAATTAGGTAAAAATGTATTGAAGGCAGCCCCCGCCACAATGTTTGGCTGGAGCACAACACTGCTGGCGTTTACTGAATGACACTTGAATATTCTCATGACTTCCTTGCCCCATCGTGGCGAAAGTATGTCACATTCATTTTTTTTTTTTTTTTGTCTATGATCAGAGGTCACATTTTAACAATGTAAGAGAAAAATTTTTGAAGAATAATTTTGTCACGCACATTGGGGGCTAGTCATATTTCATAGTGGCGCATTACAGTGGTTAGAGGTAAGTTAATGTATTAATATGCCTCATTATATTTCAACAATTTTTGAATCATCATTCATTCTCAAAGTGTTAGGCTAGCCTATCACCTGAATGTATCATCTTGTGCCTCTTCATATTTCCAAGCCGACTGAATTTCTTACCACACTCTGGACACTTGTGAGATTGATCACCCGAATGCCCTAACATGTGAGTCTTCATACGTCCAAGACGGATGAATTTTTTCCCACACTGAGGACACTCGTGAGGTCGATCACCCGAATGACCTAACATGCGAGTCTTCATACGTCCAAGACGGATGAATTTCTTCCCACACTGTGGACACAGGTGATTTTTCATCTTCTTTGAGATAAGTGCAGTTTGTGTGACGGTTTTCTTCTGAAATTTGTGTTTTTTTGATGGTATAGGTGTTACGATCCTGCAATATAATAAATATTTAAAGCATCTTATAGGTAAAATATATACTGTTCCCCAACCAGTTATGTGGTGGTATATAATGCTAATAACTAAAATTATAGCTAAAGTCAGACAAGATGAGACAAATAATAATTGAAACAGCACTGTCCGCAGTACTAATCTTAATTAATGACAAAGTTTTTTATAGTAGACATCAGAAATGCAACAACAATATTAAGTATAGAACACAATAACACTAGGTTTCAAAAAGAAACATGTTGACTGAATTCTCATGAATCCTCATATTTCCAAGATAATTGAACCTTCTCCTGCACTCTGAACACTCTTGAGGTTTGTCACCCGAATGTACTAACATGTGAATCTTATGTCCAAGGTGACTGAATATCTTCCCCTCAGTCTGGACTCTGGTGAGTTTTTATCTTCTTTATGATAGGTGCAGTTTGTGTGAAGGTTTCCTCCTCTGGATTACTGCATCAGTGTTGACATTAGGAGACATTTCAATATGGATCATCAATGTCAACAGATAGGCAAGGCTTGAATGTTGTTTCTTAGAGTTAGACTTGATGTGAGCACTTGGCAGTCAGTGCTGTTGCTTCTTCTCTATGAAAGGAACAGTTTGTGTGAAGGTTTTCTCCGTGGATGACTGCACAAATGGTGATGTTTGGAGACAGGTCACAGTGAAGTGTCAATGATCACATGGGTTGGCCCAAGGGCAGTTGGAGAGAGAGGTTATCTTGACAGGATTATAGGCCGAGAAGGCTGAAAGACGACTGCAGACTCAAGGAAGAGACCAGCTACTCCAGCCTGTAAGAAGACATCCTGGGCAGGATAGGTAGATACTACCCACGCTGTTCTTCTCAAAAACCCACCATTGATAGCGTGGAGGAGAAGAAAAATCTTTAAGAGACCACTTAGTAAGAACAAGCCTGACATAGGAATCAGTAGACAACCCAACCCAACCTAACCTAACCTCGTGCTGGGAGACCGGTGACCAAGCGACATGAGACGCAAGGCCATCGTTAGGAGACGCAAGGAGACACAAGAAAGCAAGGCCCTAACAAGACTTGAAACCTAACTGAGCGAGGCCCTAACAGGACTCAAACAGAACCAAACCCTAACCTAACCTTGGCTAGACAAGTGCAAGAAATGGTTAAGCAGGACCTCACAGTTAAGCAGCCTGCATTAGCACACTCTGGGTATATAATGAATATCTTATAACAAGAATATCTTCCAATATTTGGGAGTGTATGAAGTGTATGAATGTATACAGAGCTCAAAGTATCTCATACCATTTGGTCTGAAATCATTGACAACAGGGCAATTACAGATATAGTGTTGGAGAGTATATTGGAATGCTCACCACTGGGGGGTTTTCATTACCTGCATAGAGGGGCTGTGTGTTGTCTGAAGACAGAGTTTGTTATAGTTCTAATAGCAGATTTTTTGCCGAGTAATGATAGGCTTGAGGTAATTTGCAGTGGTTGATCCCCCATGCACAGATACCGTATGTAAGATAGGAAGAGATTAGTGCGTAATATAATGGAAGGGGAGAAGACTAGTGAACATAATATCTGATTTTAGAAATTATACCAACCATTTTTGAGACTTTTTTGGCTGTGTTGTATGTGGGGTGCTGAAGTTCGGTCTCTTGTCTTTGTATAGGCCAAGGAACTTCCATAATCCAAGGATTAGGATTTATTTCATAATCTAGGGATTCTAGGCTACAGAGCACAGAATAAAAAGTTTAGAACGAGTTTGTTTTAAATAAGTCATTGTATCAGGGTAGCCAGTGTATTTATACACGTTAGGCTTATATTGAGGTCTTCCCCCAAGGTCAAATTACTGACCCCGCCTAGGATGCAACCCCACAACATTCCGACTAACTCCTTAGTACAGTACAGTGCTCCCTCGATGCAGCGAGCTATTTTGGACCAAACCTGATTCGTTGGAGTGAGGGATACGTTGCAACAGATGATGCCTTCACGAGGCATTTATGTGATGCATGTTTTAGTAATACAGTGGCACCTTGACATACGATTGCCCCTACTTGCGATAATTTCGAGTTACGATACGACGAGTTTACGAGTTTCATCGAAAAATGCGACTCGACATCCGATGGTGTTGTCGACTTCCGATACTTGTTGGTACACGTTCGGGTTGACCAAGCACGTGGTTCCCAATCACGCGGCCGACCTGCCTCAGTTTACTACAGCTGCGCGCTTAGTGACGATCACGTCTATAAGAAATTCCGCTTTTGTGGTGATTTTTTGCACTTTGAACATTAAAGTAATTATTATATATCACGCCATGAGTCCCAGGAAAGTCATTGGTAAGGCTCAACATATGAAAACCCATGTACGGATGAACATAGAGCAGAAACAAGAGATCATTCGTAAATATGAAGATGGTGTGCGGGTTGTTGGACTGGCTAGGCAGTACAACAAATCTCAGTCAACGACATCCACCATACTGGCTAAGAAAAAGGACATTATGGGTGCTAAAGTGATGCATCATTACAGACAAATGTTAAAACAAAGGGAAAAACAAATGTCTCTTGACAAATTTGTAGTGATACAAGCACTGAACCACAACCAGGTCCTAGTGGTATTCAGGCAAAACGTAGGAGAGTGAGTACCCCAGAGAAAACATCACTGCCTGATGCGATAATGGAAGGGGACTTCTCTTCCAAACAGTAACAACTTTCCTTCTCCCCCCTCATCACCATCTTCCATATGCCATCAAGAGCCCTCCATAAAGATAAGATAAACTTTGGTACTGTATTATAGTTAGAAAAAAAACATTGTGTTCAGTATAAAATGTATTTGTATGTTAATATTTTGAAGAGTGGGGAACGGATTAATTCAAATCCCTTTATTTCTTATGGGAAAAATAGCTTCGACTTACGATCCGTCTCTGGGAACGGATTAGCATCGTAAGTCGAGGCCCCATTGTATATATATGACATGCATATTTTTTGCCAGTGGAAACTCGGGATACGAACATCCCTATATATGATTTGTGCGGTTTAAGGGTTAAGTAAACTTTTATATTACAAGAAAAATTATAAACCTGTGCACATGTACAAAGTAATATACTCCTACCGCTGTAGCTGAGCATCTTCAGCAGTTTGCAGTCCCAAGTGTCCTGGAGTGCTGGGACGGGACCCTGGCTTGGAGTTAAGCCTGGAAACAATATAACAGAAAAGTTATAGTAGTCCACAAGAAAAAAATGATCTCGCCTCCATTTTCATGAGTGGGTAGGCAAAAATTTGACAAGAGACAGTGAAGACAACAAAATAACACCCATCTTTCACACAGAGCACCATCACAGGGATGTAGTACCCATATACCCCTAGAACAAAAAGCTCCAGACCTGTACTTCAGCCATTCAGCCGAACACTGAATAAATTAAAATTATCCACACTAATTATAAAAAATCTAGCAGTGAATGTAATTAAATGCCTCCTTCTGTGGGTCCCTTCAGTGGCTTCCCGAACTATCTGCCTGGTTAACTCCAAGCCACTGGGGCCACTGCCATCAGCGACCCATAACCCTTATATGCTAAGAGTAAGTGGCAAGTGTTCATGCCTTTATTGCCAGCATTTCCATGCTCTAACACAAAGGAGCACACGATGATTATGATCAAATGCTTTGAAGTAAGACTTTTGTGAAATGCTTAACTTTATCCATTTAGACAGCTGTACCCTCCCCTTTATCCATACAATAAGCTCAAGGCTTAACTTCCTTAACACTATCGGTCACTTTGGACCGGACTCTCGTCCATTATTTTTCTCCCGAGTCCTAACCGAGGACCGGACTTGCGTCCACTACAAAAATATTTGTATAAAATTCATTTTTTATCCAATCGACCTAGGAATAGTATCAAAATAAGCGCCATTAGAATGCGCACAATTTGATACCAAAATGAAAGCTGTAACATGAAGCTTGATGTCCGAACACTTATATGATTATAAATAGATTTTTGGTCAAAATTTTAAAATATTTGTTAAAATTCTATTTATTGTGCTATTATGTTGGGACTAGTTTTAAAATGCGCGCCTTTACGTTGCGAACAATTTGATACCAAAATGAAAGATGTAACACAAAAATTTATGTCAGAACACTGGAAAGATATAAATAATTTTGTGATGATGAGCTTCCAGAATTAAAATATTTGTTAAAATTCCAGTTATTGCTCTATTATTATGGGACTAGTTTTAGAATACGCACCTTTTTATTGCGAACAATTTGATACCAAAATGAAAGACATAACACGAAAATTGATGTTATCAAACTGAATGAGTATACACATTAGGTTGCAGTGTACAAATTGGTGCTCGTTCACGGGTAACTTTAGGCTTTTCTGCGGGGAGGCACTCCAAACTTTTGTACATTATTCATACACATCTGTAGGGAATTTAATTGCGAACACAATGATACCAAAACGAGCAACGTAGCACGAGAATTAAGGTGAGAAAAATGGAACGAGTATGCACATTTTACTGATTTTGTGCGCTCACGGGTAACTTTTGCCGACTTTAGGCTTTGCTGTTGGGAGTCACGCCAGGCTTTTGGACATTATACTTATACACACCTGTAGGGAATTTAATTGCGAACACAATGATACCAAAACAAGCGACGTAGCACGAGAATTAAGGTGAGAAAGCTGAAACAAGTATACACATTTAGGTGTCACCGCGCGCTTGCCTGCACGCTCGCCCGCACGTTGGGTGCATGACCCTTAAGTTGACCGCGCGCCTGCCCTAGTGAGCGATAGTGTTAAAATCATCATAAAACAAAGAACACAAACACTAGAGGATGTTGAAAAATTATTATTAATTTGGATAAACAACAAGCAGTTAGTAGGTGATAGCACTTCAGAGGGCATCATTTGTGAAAAAGCAAGGCTATTGCATGAAGATTTTATAGAGAAAGCCCTTGGAATGAGTGATGCATATACGAAAAAGTTTAAGGCGAGCAGGGGATGGTTTGAGAAATTTAG